AAATATAATTTTGCACAATTTAGGATTTTCTATTTGGGTCTTTGAATTACTTCCAATATTTTAAGTAGATTCTGGATTATTTGCTACTCAGAAAACATTGAGAACCACTTGTCATTGCAACACAAAGTGTACTTTGCAGATTCTCTGAAGGATTTTTGATATCTCACCCCCTTGGAAGATTTTCAGTTTTCTCAAATGAAGGCAAATTCATAGGGCATGAAGCCAAGGTTATTTTTGGTAACATTATACCACTTCCATACATTATCACCTCTTTTATCTTGTCTCTATTTTTTCCCTGTATTTTTCTTCAACCTCTGTTTTATGTTCTCTATCATTAATCGAATATCTACCATGTGCCCGTCAGATGCTAATCCTCACAGCAGCTGTGCTGATAAAGACGCAAAGGCTCATGTATGCCGAGTAACTCAGCCCAGGACGCATAGTAGTAAATGGCAGAGCCAAGAAGCTTAAATACATTTCCCTTCAGGGCCATAACTTGTCCTTTGTGCCATGCTGTTTCTCTCCCCCTCTCTCTTCTACCACGTTCCCCTTTGCCTTTCCCTTTTTTTTTTTCCTTTTCAATAGTGGTGAAGTGCACATAACATAAAAGTTACCAACCCATTTCTAAATGTGCATACAGTTTGGTGGTGTTACGTAGGATCATATTGTGCTTCCATGGCCAGTATCCAACCATCCACAGGACTCTTCACCTTACTAAAGCCCCGCACACACAAAACAACAACTCACCATCATTCTTTCTATCTGTGTGAATTTGATAACTCTAGGTACTGCCTACAAGCAGAATCATGCGATATTTGTCCTTGTGTGATTGCTTTTTTTCACTTAGCAAAATGTCATAATGCCCATGTTGTAGCATTGTCTGGATTTTCCTTTCATCTAAGCCTGAATAATATTTCATTGACTGCTTATACCATATTTTGTTTATCCACTCATTGGTTAGACACTAGGGTTGCCACCACTTTTTGACTACTATCAGTATTGCTGCTGTACACAATGGTGCCCTGCTTTTCCCTTTTGAGAGCACAACCCCTCCCCCCTTATCTTTTGCCTGTTTAAGTTTTTCAGTGGTACCCATGGACATTGCATAATCTCACCAATAACACTAAGACCTAGAAAGTCACCAGACTGTATATACCACAGATCATTTCACTTCGTTTTTCTTGTCATTTTTTTTCTTTTCTTGACTTTACCTTTCAAATTTGGTTTTTGCATGGTAATAATACATATTCTGTCATTTGTTCCCATGTCTATTTATTTCTGTTGTTGGTTGTTACACTTGGATGGAACTCCAGTAGAACTCTTTGATCCTTAAGAGGAATCATATCGAAATGCTAAGCGGTGTTTATTGAATCGAAGTTATTAGGCTAGGTGTGTGAGACAGCGTAGAAAATGGGGCAGGAAGGTGGGGATGGGAGCAGAAGTGGAGGTTGATTCTCAATTTCAAGGAACTTTTAACTTGCAAATATTCATTACTTTATCATTGCCTTTAAATAACTGAGAAGTGCTGTTGTCAGATGAATGCAGTATGTCTGGGATGAATTTGCCTCTCACTCTCCCATCACCACCCCACAGAGACATTTGGCATTTTTGGTTCTCATGACTGTGGGAGAGTGCATGCTTCTGGCAGCTAGTGGGTAGAAGCCAGAGATGCTGCCAAACATACGTAGAGCACAGGATAACCCCCAAAAACAAATTGTCAGGCCCTAAATGTCACTAAAGCCAAGGCTGAGAAACCTTGCAGTATGAAATATTACCTAATTTAATATTGATTAATCACCTAGTAATGAGCATAAAAAGGCACAAATAATTTTCCTAAGGAAAACTTCCTTATGATAATGCAGTAACTTGAAATCAAGCTAGCATTTTCTATCCTATAATTTTAATTATTTGCTAATGCCTGATTTAAAATTTCAAATACTTGAGTGGAATTTTAATATCTAAAGTAAATTTCCTAGTAAAAATTTCATTTTAAAGACATAACTTAGTATGTAATATATTGGCAATTAATGCCTATTTTAACAAGAGGAGAACATTAGCATGAGTAATAAACTTCCTTTGGATTTGAAAAGCATTGTGTAATTGCCCCTGCACATTTCTCTCTTGATTTCTTTATTTAGATGAGCACTATGTTTAGGTCTTAGCTCCTATACACATATTTTATGAAGTAATGCTGGAGGCCCTGAAGGGTGTTCTGCAGCATTGACTTAAAATATTCCATGGATAACCCACTTACATTGCAGATGACATTAAAAATATAAACAAAATTCATTCCCTCTGCCCTTCCATAAAATGGAACTTTCTTCCACAAAATGGAACTTTAACAATTGGAAGGGGTTGAGAAAATCACTTGTAGATGCTCTGACGCCATGCCAGGTAGCCTCCAGGGGGCATCGAGATGCCCAAGACCTGGGTGCCACCCATAGGTCTAGACCAGTCTCTGAAGGGGCAGGGAGGATAGCAGGCAATCACTGATCAAGAAGTCACCATTAGCATACATCTGACTGATTGCTTGACTAAACAAGCCTCACGTAGGCCTGGACCAGGAATAATTCTCTGCATGTACCCAGAGATTGATTCTCAGGCATCTGAATCCATATTTTTCTGTTTCAGGACATGGGAAGAAGGCAAGGTGCTCATCTTTGATGATTCTTTCGAGCATGAGGTGTGGCAGGACGCTACGTCTTTCCGGCTGATATTCATCGTGGATGTGTGGCACCCAGAGCTGACACCCCAGCAGAGACACAGCCTTCCTGCCATTTAGCATATTGTGTAGGCTTGGGACACACGAGAGAGGCTGCCTTTCTGGCTCTATCTCCTTGGGTATAGGACTAGAGGTTCCAAGTTTGAGAAGCCTTAATTTCCTTGATGTGCAGCCCCCAAATTCTAAGGTTCTTCCTAGGGTTAGAAGACACTAAATGGGATATTTGCCTTGCTGCAGTTCATGTAGAAAGCACCCTGCTGTACTTCCCCCCACGACAGCACCCATCTGGTGCCATATTTCAGGTGAATACATGATCGCTTCTGTCTTGTCAGCCAAAGATACTTTACCCCCTTAAAAGAGGCCTAAATCGGTGTACAGTGAGAATACATGTAGAAACTGTGAATGGATCACTTTAGTTTGTAATTTTTCTATGCAGTTATATATTTCTAGGGTAGCTGGGTGATTTTGTCATCATTTACCACTACTTTTTTGTTGAGTTTAATAATAAGATGTGTAAATGCTTTACTTCTTGCTGCTTAATGGTAACTTCCCTTGTCAACTCAGACTTCCCTCTTCTAATTATCTTTAGTAAAAGACACCCATAAAAAAGCAATTTTATTTTCCTAATACGAAGGAGAAAGATGTAATTATGCTGATGTCTAGGAACTGTACTGCTTCCTACCCACTGAGTCTATTTGCTTTTTTAGCTTCACTGAAAGCCATTGTCTTCATTTCTGTGTTCACCATGCAAATGGTAGAGACTCTGTCTTCCCAAGAGGAGCTTTGCATCCTGCAACAGGACATGAAATCATTTTATATTGAGTCATAGCAGTGCCACATGTACATTTTTTAATGCTAAGAATTAGAACTTGAAAGAAATTTCTCAAAGTAAACATTTCCTCTCAGGATCAGGTAAATAGGTAGCTGCTAGGACATCTGGCTCTTCCGCCTCTTTGCCATCTGAGACAAGGCTGGAATCCAGAGTCTCTTGGCCTATTGTAGATCCCTGTGAGCGAAGAGGTCCTTATGTGTGTTCCCATCACAATTTTGTAAAAATATGAAGGATGGCAAAGTGGAAGACCAAGCAAGAATGCCAGGATCTTAGTCCTGGGTTCAGCTTGTGTAAATTGCCTTCTTCTTTGAAAGAGTTTGGAAGACTCTTCCATTTCCTTGGCTGGAGAAACTTTATGCCATTTAAGCATAGCTTTGAAGTAGCTACTGTTATCCATAGTTTAGCTTCAGTATTACCCACAGCATAGAAATAACAGTTGAGAAATTTTCATGCCTACTTATTCCAAAGATGATCAAATTATTGAGAAGAGTATTAATGCATTAAATATTGTATGTTTCCAATCAAAACTAGATGTGTTAGCTATATGAATGTAATGATATTCATGCACCTGAATTTTAAGCCAATATGAACAAAAATGCTGAAGAAATGACACAAAGGTTATCAGATTTCATTCCCAGGGAGAAATAAATACTTGTGCTTCCTTTCCATCTAAGGACAAAGGAGGATGATTTATTTGTCTCTTTTGAAAGGAGTTCTTTACCACTGAAATGTATCCTTTCTGCTTGACAATAGCTTCCAGTTAGTAGGGTTTGCAAAATATTTGTCCTGTTCCCTTCTGTTTTGCCACAACAATACCACTAAAATACATGAAGAATGTGAGGAAAGTCTCAAAATTAATTGCCAAGGTCCAGAAGAAAAAGCAAGCTCTTGAAAAATAAAAAGGTATCATGTCCTTCAGTATTTATTGAACAGAAGAAATGACTGACAAAGGACAATACAATCCAATGCTCGTGTGATAACATTCATGTCACTTATTGAATTTGGTTCTTGTATGTATATTGCATACACATAAAGAAATTTAAAGTAGAAGTTGTCAATGTTAAACCATCATCTTACATTCATTTAATGAAATCATGGAATAGAATAAAAACTAGCTCTTGACTTAATAATTATAATATGGTATTTAAAATCAGGTCACTACAGTAGGATTCTAAATATTGCCAATTGAAAAGCCAGGAATATTATAACTGTTGAAAAAAGTTGGCAATAATCGATTCCAATAGCATTTTAAATACTTGGATCCCTCAACTATTTTACAAACCCAAGTAATAAAATGGATTTTCTAATTCACTTTAATTCTTTATCTTTCTTCCCTATGTCATGGAATATAAGAAAAGTGTTTCAGTCACTGAATTGGTAGAATTATTTCAGTATTACTATTTTGTTATTTGAAATGTCTACACAAAATGAATTGGTTTTATTTATACCATGATACAATTGGTTGAGAAATATTTTTAATTCTATTTCAATTTTATTTCAAGGGTAGAATACAAAAATTACTTCTCTTATTCTCCTCTGCCAGTAGAAAAAAATTAAAACAATAGATTCATTGAGAAAGAGATGTCATAAATGGTTAAGATTAGTAATAATGCTTATTGAGGGTGATTATGGCCACTTGATCACCTCTTTTCTTTTAATGTTTTAGCTAACTCTCCCAAATCCTTAGAACATAAAATCATATTTTTCTGCCCATCATCAACCAAATATTTTTTTATTTGACACTGAGCACCAACTGGTCATACTAATAAATGCCCATGTCATGCAGATAACTGGGAGGATGAGGTACCTAAAAACATACAACTGATGGGGGGAAACATGGCACAAGTAAGGATGTCATATCCTATGTTATCTGTTTAATTTATTTTCCTTTGGATGGATAGTTGGGGGCTCCATTTCTAAGGAGAATAGACAAAGAAATAAAATGATCTTTGGCATTTTATCCCACATTCCTAATCTCTTATTGTCAGTACTTGCGTATTTAGCCATCTTTAAGGGTCTTCCTCCATGATTGGTCCCTACCCTCTCAGCAACAGCCAGCTCCCTTCTCCACACCTTTAACTGGTTGCAGGAGAGTGAGGGGCTAACTGCTTTTCTTTCGTGTAGTGACCCAAGTGAGGCCATTTGAATGGATCCATTAATCACGGATATGTGTTTCAATGAGACCCCGCCCCCTCCCCCCTCCCCCGCCCTGCAGACTCATGTTGCCTGTGGGAAGTCACGTTATTAAGATGAAATAATCATATTTCAAGTTGTGTGTGTCTTCTTTTAAGGTCAGATCATGGTAATCAGCTGGTAGCCTGACAAAAGATGTGACGTCACAATCATTCTTGCAGAATAATCAAAATAAGCAAACCCCGCAAATAGCCAGACCTACAAGAACATGCCCTTAGGCTGAACAATTCGATGCTGGTGATGAGGTCAAAAAAATAATTCAATAAGAATGGAAATTACTGGAGATACTACTGTCTTGGGGCCTTGCCCTACATTGAGCTTGACAATTGTGTCTGCACAGTTTAACTCTGATGTATCTACTTGGAAATGCACTTAATCTTAAATCACAAAACCTGGAGAGGGTGTCTGCGGTACCTCAGAAAAATCCTTGTACTAATGCAGTATATGCATCAAATTTAGTTTTTCTTTTTTCAATTCATTTACTACCATAAATATAGGGGAGGGGGATCATGTTTACATAACTGCCTTGCTTCACCTCCAGTCCCCCAGTGAAAAAAAAGCATCTCTCAAGTCTTTGTTCAACTTTGGCTGCTCAGACCAATGGCTGGTGACAGTCAATACTAGGTGGCAGGAGTGGAGGGCCTTGTGTCAAGCGGAACGCACGTGTCTGTGTGGGTCAGTTGCGCATGTGCTTCCTGGGCAGCTGATACCACTGAAGGCTGGCGATCTGCAAGAGCATGGGGTGACTCGGGGTTCAGTCCAGAGCCAGGAGTGGCTGAGTATTCTCATTCTCTCCCTTCTCCTCATGTTTCAGGGTGCCAGCTTCCACCACAGACTGGGACCTAAAAATAGGAGAAGGAGAAAGATACAATTACAGACAATTCATGTGGCAACAATTTTGTAATCTTGGAGAACATTCAGATTTATGTTCCCCTTATTAATCAAAACACTCAAAATAACTACAAACTTTCCATCTTTTTGTATCTCTCTTTTTGCTTTTCTGCCTTCTATATCACATATTTAGGGGGAGAGGCATCTTAGAAGCTTCTTTGCTGAGATCTCTTCGGTTGGTAAAAGCAACACGTGTTCTAGCCACAACTCTGCCCCAGTGTCTCAACAATTCTATGGATCTTGAGATGTATCAAATAGAGTAAATCCTGTTGGAATTTTTTTAATGTTTCAAAATACTTTTTTAGAGCCTATGGTTTCTCAATGTCATAGTAAACTATCATGCATGATGTTTAGACCATGAGGTTTGGAATCAGATCGCTAAATGTAGACTCTGCCCTTTACTGGCTGAGGAGCCTTGGGGGAGTTCTTAAAAGTCTCTAGACCTTTACTCTCTCACCTGTAAAATCGAACCATTACTTACCTCCCACAGTTATTAATAAGGACTAAAAGTAATAATATTCATAAAGCATTTTATGTGTAATTCTACTTAAAATTTATGGAGTATTCTATTATCACCATTATTGCAATGATATAGTGGGATCTTTAGTTTCTGATATGTCCTCTTGTATTGGATAATAACAGTTTATTTTTTGGTTTTACAATGTGGATTGAAACTGAAATTTTACAGCTCATAGAGAGAAAGTTGTAAGAGATATACATGTGATAAAAAATGTTCGCATACTAAAAAAAAAAGTATTGCAAGCATTAAGAAAATGGTTGAATTTGTTCAAATAAGCAGAATTTACATATAATGTGCAGTAAAATGTTAACTCAGAACCCTGAGTTTCGGAGGCATCTGGGTGGCTCAATGGTTGAGCATCTGCCCTTGGCTCAGGTTGTGATCCAGGTTCCAGGATTCGAAACCTGCATCAGGCTTGATCCAGGATCCAGGGTCCAGGGGTCGAGACCTGCATTAGGCTCCCTCCCTGTAGGGAGCCTGCTTGTCCCCCTGCCTATGTCTCCGCCTCTCATGGATAAATAAAAATCTTAAAAAATAAAAAAAATAGGGGATCCCTGGGTGGCTCAGAGGTTTAGCACCTGCCTTTGGCCCAGGGCGTGATCCTGGAGACCCTTGATCGAGTCCCATGTCGGGCTCCCTGCATGGGGCCTGCTTCTTCTGCCTGTGTCTCTGTTTCTCTCTCTCTCCCCCTCTGTGTCTCCCATGAATAAATAAATAAAATCTTTTTTAAAAATAAATAAAAAATAAGAAGAAGCAGATTGAGTTGCCCAAACCCTCCTCATTCCAAGTGTCCCCTGACTGGCTCCTCTGAGCCCCTCGAGAATACCACCTGATAAAAGTGTCTCTGTGTGCCTGAGAGTTTGGGCTATATAGGTTATGCCAACAATGTGATTTATTGCAAACACCTTTTTTTGTATGTCAAGATCACACTATATCAGGGCAGGGCAGGTGGGGGCCAGTGGGGAGGGAGGAGCTGAAGACTGCATGACTGTGTGACTGGCTCCTCCCCACCAACAGAAATCCTGGACACCAAAGCATGGTGAGTTTCCCTGATTGGCCACACCTGGTGTGTGTTGCCATACACTGCCGAATGAAGCTCTGTCAGGACAACTGGCAGCATGCGACTGGTCCAGTGTGCCTGGGCTCCACCCAATACACCTTTCTCCTTTGCTGCTTTTAATCTGTATTATTTTCCATAACAAGCCATTACTGAGTATAACATCTTTTCTGAGACCTGTGAGTCCTTCCGGCAAATTACTAAACCTGGGGTGGCTGAAAGGACTCCCAAAACAATATATAATAACACATACTTGTTTTGTATGCACCTGGTATTGATATAAGTTCTTTACATGTATTACCTTACTTCATTTCCACAACCCTAAGGAGTGGTGCTATTATGATCTCCATTTTACAGAAGGGGAAAAATCTAAAGAGAAAAAAGTAGCACAGGAAAGGCAACACAAATAGAGGGCAGATTTATCGCCATCACACCACTTTGGCCGTACCTGAGGCTGCAGAATTGTTTAGCTGAAATACCTAATGTTCCTTCCACCTCACTGCAAAAATAACTTTCTGCATGAGATTCTTATCTCCATTCAGGATATGTATGTACCATAGGATGCTTAAAGAAATCAAGAAGCAAATTAGTACGGTTGTCTCAAAAGATTCAATTTCTACTATAAAGATCAATCCAGGGGCACCTGGATGACTCAGTCCGTTAAGCATCTGCCTTCAGCTAAGGTCATGATCCCAGAATCCTGGGATCAAATGAATAAATAAAATCTTAAAAAAAAAATCAATCCAAACAGTCCAACTTTAGTATCAAGCTTAACCTATGAAAGTGAAATGTAGGGGGGCCTGGATAGCTCAGTTGGTTAAGCATCCAACTCCTGATTTAGGCACAGATCATGATCTTGGGGTCATGAAATTGAACCTCACTCTGTGCTCAGCCCAGAGTCTGTTTAAGAATATCTCTCCCCCCTTGCTCCTCCCTCCCCTCCTGTGCTTTCTCTCTCTCTAATAAATAAATACATCTTTAAAAGTAAATAAAGTGAAACAGATTCATTTGCTCCTGGGATAGGGCAGAGGAAGCCCCCAGCTCCTAGTCTAGCTCAACTATTTTACACTTTTCCTATGCATTCCTTCTGCTTTAGTTAAGGGCTTGGTGTGTGCGTGTAGAGAGGGGTGAGGTAGAGCAATAGATTTATACAAGGAACAGAAAAGCTGAAAACCCAGAAGCCATCAAAATAAGCACGAAGGAAACCAGAGGGACATACCTACCTGCCTGCAGTGGCCACATCCCTCTGGCACCCCCTACAGCTGCCTGCCTAACTGCTTTGTCCTCCGGCCCTGGTGAGAGTGGAAGATATCTATGGCTGTTCCACTTTGGAGACTTTGAAACTGCACTTCTCTTCCTTCAAGCCAGCTGGCTCTATTTTACAGCATGGCAAGGGAATCACAGCCACAGAGTTACAAGCCACCTTAGTGACCTATTGAGATTGAACTTGTAGGAAAAATTCAGTAAGGGCCACACAGCCTCTTCTTGAAACTTACTCCTCCATGTCCCTAGAGGGGCAACTCTACTGGAAGGTTCTTGCTTACACTGAACTCAAACCTGTCTTTTTGCAACTTCTATATATGATTTCTGGTTCTGTCTGCTGCAGCCACCAGTGTCCACATAATCCAGCTGGTCCACGTAACCACTCTTCGAAGCGTTGATCTAGTGCCCATGTCTCCAGCCAGAACCCAAGACCTGACCTTTGCTGCCCACCTGCTTGTACTCACCAGCTTTTGCCTCCCATTTTTCCTCAAGCTCCTCTTTCCAGTTTGCCTATAACTCAGGCAAATGAAACCTGAAACCACCTTTCAGGTGATGGCGACTGCCCTGACAAGACCTCCAGTCCACCCAGACCTCCCAGACCAGCTGGAGCTAAACCCCCTACTTGTGTCTTAACAGAAGGACCGCAGAGTGACCTCTAGAACTACTGACATTTACTTCATTATAATACTAAAAATCTCTGCCCGAGGAGGAGCACAAGCTTCATTTAAGTAACATGCAAAATACGTATAGGCATGTTCCCTTAAGGCGCATATGCAACCTTATGTGTACCGCTACATATGGTGACAAAAATCCCCATTTTAAATATTCATCCCCACCCTCACTAAAAGGAACCTATCCACCCTTGCTTGGGAAGTCACGACTTTGGAAGTGACTCCCTGTGATCTCCTTATTTGTTGCAGCAAAGTTTCCTTTGTGGGACAACTCACCTGTGTGGCTTCTGTAACTCACCGAGGAGCCAATTCACATTGGTTCCCTTACATCCTCAGCCCTCTCCCTGCCACCACCCAGGCAAACCAAGATTCCTCTTGTGTCAAGATTTCTAAAATTGCCACTGGGACACTTTCCTGCATCTCCTCATCAACCAGTTGCTCACAAGGTGTCACCTCAAAATAGAGTGAAATATTGCTTCCTTTATTCCCCCTCTTTCCATGCTTCTGTTGAAGCAGAAATGATGTGCCTAGAATTGCTATTAGCCTTTCTGGCACTCACACAACATAGCTGAGGAAAATTTAGCTATATTTGCATATGCTGCTGGTAAACCATTTCACTTCCATCTCGAAGGTGCGTGGTTGACTCTCCAATTTCTTCTTTTTTAAATTTGGCTGATGTCTCCACCCTCTCTCTGCTTTCTTGAATCTTGAAAACTGTTAGCCATCCAAATTATTGTCTGTGATTTTAATGAGTGTTGGATTTGTTTCCAAACTTTCCCTGCCCCGATTTGGGGAGCCACTATGGGGGAAAAAATTAAAAAATTGTCAAATATTGAATTTTCAAACAAAAATCATTTATACTCACTTATAGTAAGAACTGTTTTGAGAAGGTCTCCTGACATATGCCAGGGACTGTGAGCAAACGTTCAGGAACCTTACTTCTCTTGTGGAAATATTGCTTCAGTTACCTTCAGTTACCTAACATCAGACACACAGATGTGGGATTACTGTGATAAGCACCCAGAGGAGAGGGGGTTTGGAGGTGAGGCATTAGCTCTAGCAGGACAGGAAGGGAAGAAAAAGCTATTTGATCACACAGCGACATCATTCACAGTCCCTGTTCAAGTGACCCTTCCTTCCTTCCCCTTGGGGTCAAATTTAGATCGATGCGGACCTGTACTGACAGCAGGCACACAGAATGCAGGCTCTTATCTCAGCCAATACACTGTGTGTCTTGGGTGAGCGACGGGTAACAATTGAACAGTTCGGAGGAGCCGAGCATGAGGGACCAAATGAAACATTTTCTTTCTTATCTGTATTTCCCCTGATGGAGAAGATGACCGGAGCCTTTTTACCTGCAGCATGACATAATTCCATTTCCCTGGTCGCACAATGGCCATTTGATGTAAGGAACACAGTACGTTGTGAAAGAGTTGAAAT